CTAATTATAATTATAATATAATAAAAAAATAATTTAAAAATATTATTTTTTTTTACAAAAAATAAAAAATAAAAAAATTGACAGGTATATGGATACGGGTACGGATATACCCGATATTCGACGGGTATGGAAATGGGGATGGGGATGAGTTTAACTTGCGGGGACGGGGACGAGTATCATGAAACCCGAACCGCCCCGCCCCATTGCCATCCTTACTTATTAGACTCTTTGATTCACACTATATTTTAAATATTCATATATTTATAATAATCAAAATTATTAATTTTTAATAAATAATTATTATATATTTATCTTTTAAAGTATATTCTGCGTCTGGAAAAAGTCAAATTCATATAATTAATTCGAAACTTTAAAAAAGAGAAAGAAACTCATTGTACCTCATAGCATCTTTCTTACATTAACGTGATAAATACAAGTTCTTATATATAAAATGGAAAAGCTCTTGTACATGGAAACAAACAAGTGATTATTATTGTGATACCAAACAGAGCTTTAAGATGTAGCACAAAAAAAGGTCTACGCTTCCTCTTCACCCAATAAGGAACAATATCTTTATCCAGCAGAACAACTCTAAGAGCTCGTGAAAGGTTAGGCTCGATTTATAAGATACAGTTTCTGTTGCCATCCATGCTGCAATTTTCAACTGCAGACCTAAGAGAGAGACAGTGTACACGACTTGTTTAATCTATTAAGACAAACACAAGTCTATATAGTTGATTATCAATTTGTTTATCGATTTGCAATGCTTATGACTTTTTCATTTTCATCATTTATCAATTGGAGTCATTCGGACACATCGTGGAAAACTAATTCATATTTCCAAACTTATTATATAATTTTAAGATATTAATTATTTAGAATTGAAATATATTGTATTTATTTTAGAAATTTATTTTTTTAAAAAAAATTAAGATATTAGATCAATAAATAAAAACTTTTAAGACAAAAAGAATATTCCAACTTATAGAGGAGATCATTATTTTAAATGTGAGAGAGTCATATGAAGAAAAGTTTGAGTTTCATCAAAATACTTGTGAGAGATGAGTTTCCAAATTTCACCTATAAAATTTGTGAAGAGTTTTCTAGTTTCATTTATAAATTTTGTAAAAGAGATATTTTCAAGTTTAAGCTATCAAATTCGTAAAAAAGGATTTCTAAACTTTATCCACAAAATTTGAAGAGAAAATTTTTAAGAATATACATATAATATATTTTGAGATAATAAAAAATTGAATCACATTAAATAAATCCTGTATAATTTTATAATTATTTATGATATTATTTTTAATGTTCTTCTTACTCTTAAAAAAAAAGGAAAGATACTTTTTTTTCCACCACGCATGATGACAACAACAAAATGGATTGAGATGACAAGTAATCCTGATGAGAAGGTGAATGTATATATATGCATTATGATGATATAATATCATATATGATAAGATGAGATGATAACTTGTTTTGAGATGATATGATAACTTGTTTTGAGATGATATATGATTTATGTGAAAGACACTATGCAAGTTGTTTAGGTTTGGCAATGTCGAATTATAATCAACTTGGCCGCGGAGTGGCGTTTAACAACTTGCCATGCATACATCTTAATATTGCAGAAGAACCACTTTTAAAATCAAATTAATCATTTTGACATATATAATGCCGACACAGAGAACAAGTACGACTTTACAAACTATATCTGATCTCAAGTTGTATAATACATTTGAAATTAAAATTATTTTATTTAAATAATTATAACGTATAATTTTCTCCCACTATATTACCCTATTTAAAGATAAAGAAGTCAGTTATGATTTCATTAATTATACCATCAATTTATATATTTGACTAACAATTTATAGTTAACATTTATTTATATTTTAAAATAAAATTAATAATTGAGGTCTAAACAATTACATGAAATTGTATACTTTATTTATTATATAAACATTATATCAATAGTTAGATCGATAAATTTAATTTATTAAAAAATTAAAATATTATTTTAATTTTTATAATTTCTCTTATTTTATCATTTAACTTATATTTAATTTAAAATAAATATTTTTATTCATTACATATTTTTTTTTAATTATTTTTAGTCTTTAAAGTTTAAGATTAATTTTTTGATTCTTGTATTTGTAGTTTATTTTATTGTCCATTTTTCTTATAATGTCATATGTTTTGTGTTGACATAATAAATATTTTTAATTTTATAAAAGTAAAAAAATATGTCTTAACAATGATGTTGTGAGGATATAAAAAGAGACATGAAATGTAAAGAGACCTAATTTAAAATAATTTTAACAAAATAATTCAACATAAAACACATAAAATTAAATTTATACTTTTGACACATCAATACAAAAGAGACAATTTTACAAAAAAAAATTAATGCTTATTAAAAGATTTATCATAAACTATAAAAACTAAAAATGATTGAAAAAGATAAGTATAACGACTTAAAAAATATATTTTTTAAACTATAAAAAATAAAAGGTAAAGTAAATGAAATTACATAAACAAATATTTTTATTTATAAAAATTTATTAAAACACTTATTCTAATAGTAATAAACTAATACATAGATCTCCAACCATTTTAGTACTTTAAACCAAATTTTATCTTTAAAATATTTTAAATTTTCTTAAAGATAAATAAATTAATTCAAAATCCACTAAATATTTGTTGTATTAAATAGAAAATTACATTGTAAATTCTCTGAATAACTAGTTAAAGATTAAGGAAAAAAGTATTATCCTTTTGTTATTTATTAAATTGCAATATTTGACACATTTCAAAATGCGTTAACATATATAGTTTCTTTAACATAAGTCTTAAATAATAATATAATAATAAATCATCAAAGAAAAATAATAAATTACTAATAATAAAAACACACGTATTAATTATCTATAATAATATATATAAAAAATAAACTTTTGATTTTTACTTTTTAGAAAGTTGATACAAGAAAGTAAGTGATAAAATTTGTGCGAACTTTATTTTTCTTATTTCGTATATGCTTTCAACTAAATAATATATTTCATGATATTATACTAAGTGTCATATTAAAAAAAAGTTTTAAATAAGTATTATATTTAATATAATATATTAATTATCTTTTTTATTTATTTTTTTAGCTAATAATATTATGTATAAAATAAATTTTGTATTGCATCGTTTTCATTATAGAAGATTAATCATAATATTATTTTTGTAAAATTATTTTTTTTATCTGTTTATTAATTGTTTATTCTATGTAAAATAACTTAAGATGGAATTTATTAAGAGAAATATAGAATAATATTTTATTCAAAGGCAGGAAAAAAAAAGGAATAGGGCTATTAAAATCATAAGGGTGTTGTTGGTTTGTATTTGAGTGAAAATTTAATCCGAATCAATTAAATTTAATTGGTTTAAATTTCATAAATTTTTTTTGCTTAATCCAAACTGAACTAGTTCAATGTTGATTTGGTTGATCCGGTCATCATATATTCAATAATTTAAAAAAATTATTTTTTCAAAAGTAAATAAATTTTTTAACATTAATTAAATTGATATATTATAAAAAATTAACTGAATTGATATATTTGTAATATAGTTTCTCTTGGTTTCTTTTCTTAATCTCCTTAAAAATTTCAAATGCAATATAATGTGTAAAATGACACTTAATATTTTGCAATATAGTTTTTCTTAGTTTCTTTAAGTTCTTGAAAAAAAGAATGAAAAAATTTACATATTATAACACAAAAATATGTTAAAAATAATCAAATTAAATGGTACATATACTATTAACCAAAAAAAATAATATATAAATTAATTGACTTAGTTTAAGTTGGTTCAAATTTAAATATGTAAATCAATATCAAATTTAATTGGTTTGGTTTGGATTGGATCCAAATGAAAAAAAAAAATTAAACCAATTTAATTGATTTAATGTGAATTTATATGCCTTTTTTTTGTTTGTTTAAATAACCAATACACACTTTATAATAAAATCATTAATTATATTAATTCTCATAATAATAAAATAATTTTATATGATTAAAAAAGTCACATTTTATAAATGATATATAACTATATTGGGTAGTTTTATTTATATATTTATTCTAATATTAATAAAAATATTTTTTTTAATAATCATGATATTAATAGTACAAGATATTTATTAAATTTATTGATTATTAGTCTTTGTTGAAAAATCTAAATGATCATCTCTAATTGAATCTTCTCTTTTAATTATATTTTTTTGTCACAAACTTTGAATATGAGATCTTTATTAAGAGAATCTAAGTACAAACTCCTCCTAGACCTTAATGTTATTAAAACATTTTAAAAAATTTAGATAAAAATTGAAATTTCTAAGATATTACTATATTAAATTTTCTTTTATGTTGTTTACAGATGAAAATATCATATTTATTTTAGGGTCTTATTTTCTCCTATAAGGGTCACTCTTAATGAGAAAAAAGATGATATGAGATTGAGATATTGAGAAAGTACAAATGATAAATATATATACATTGAGATGTTATTATGAATATAACATAAGCATGAGTGTCGAAACCTGCCAAACAAATTCGAGGATGCACATGCTGTTTTTCAAGTGTTTAACGATAGCTGTTGCAATGAAAACATGCACACGCGTACGTGTAGCACCATGATGAAGTACATATATTATACTATTTCATAAGGTAAGTGGTAGTAATTAAATTCAGTATGAATACAATATTATACATGATTGTTTGCCTTTGGGATATACCACAAGCCTTTTACCCGTTCCATGGAGTATATGCGGCGAAATGAATCATTGAATAATATACTTTGTTTAAACTTGCGCAACCCACTTGGCTTAATTCTAGCTTATAGCATAGTCAACGGCTTCCCTACTATAAAAGCAAATGACACTGAGTACTTGGTAGCAACACTTCAAATCTTGAATCCTCTTTCTAATTAAGTTCCTTGTTAATAAGATTGATCAAATGGGTGAGATGGAAGGCTCTCCCGGAAGCTCCATGCACGGAGTAACAGGGAGAGAACAAACCTTCGCAGCCTCAGTGGCTTCCCCCATTGTCCCCACAGACACCACCGCAAACTTCTCTCTTCCGGTGGATTCGGAGCACAAGGCCAAGGTATTCAAACTCTTCTCCATGGCCAAACCCCACATGAGAACCTTCCACCTCTCCTGGATCTCCTTCTTCACCTGCTTCGTCTCCACCTTCGCCGCAGCCCCTCTTGTCCCCATCATCCGCGACAACCTTAACCTCACCTCATCATGCTGTCTGCCCCCACCGTGTTCTGCATGTCGTTCGTGAAGGACGCTGCGGGGTACATAGTGGTTCGCTTCTTGATAGGCTTCTCCTTGGCCACGTTTGTGTCGTGCCAGTACTGGATGAGCACCATGTTTAATAGCAAGATTATTGGCCTTGCGAATGGGACTGCGGCCGGGTGGGGGAACATGGGTGGTGGTGCCACTCAGCTCATAATGCCTTTGGTCTATGAGTTGATTAAACGAGCTGGGGCTACTCCCTTCACTGCTTGGAGAATTGCGTTCTTCGTTCCTGGCTCCATGCATGTCATCATGGGGATCTTGGTGTTGACACTAGGCCAGGACTTGCCTGATGGAAACCTTGGGGCCTTGCAGAAGAAGGGTGATGTTGCTAAAGACAAGTTTTCCAAGGTTAGTATTTCCTCTTATTTATAAGTCTTACTTTTCCATGAAGGGAGTTTTGGGGGAGAAAAGAATCTATAACTATATAACGAGTTTCAAATTTTTTGTTCAGGTGCTATGGTACGCCATAACAAATTACAGGACATGGATTTTTGCCCTCCTCTATGGGTACTCAATGGGAGTTGAATTGACAACCGATAATGTCATTGCTGAGTATTTCTATGACAGGTTAGTTCACTTCAGCTCAAAGGCCTTATATATTTATATGCATATACATCCCGCTTGCATTAATTAATTAATTACTCTTCTACAACAAATTGGCATTTTCGACCTTACATAAGGAAATGATACCAACAGGTTTAATCTCAAGCTTCACACTGCTGGAATCATTGCTGCTTCATTTGGAATGGCAAACTTGGTTGCTCGACCCTTTGGTGGATATGCTTCTGATGTTGCAGCACGGTTATTTGGCATGAGAGGCAGACTTTGGACCCTATGGATCCTCCAAACCTTAGGAGGGGTTTTCTGCATGTGGCTTGGTCGTGCCAATTCTCTTCCTATTGCAATATTGGCTATGATTTTGTTTTCTATAGGAGCTCAAGCTGCATGTGGTGCAACTTTCGGCATCATTCCTTTCATCTCAAGGAGGTCTTTGGGGATCATATCAGGTCTTACTGGTGCAGGTGGCAACTTTGGCTCTGGACTAACACAATTGGTCTTCTTTTCAAGCTCCAAATTCTCCACTGCCTCAGGTCTCTCATGGATGGGTGTGATGATAGTGGCTTGCACTCTTCCTGTGAGTATTGTTCACTTCCCTCAGTGGGGTGGCATGTTCCTACCACCCTCAAAAGACGTCAACAAATCCACTGAAGAATTCTATTACACCTCTGAATGGGATGAGGAGGAGAGAAAGAAGGGCTTGCATCAGCAAAGTCTCAAGTTTGCTGAGAATAGCCGATCCGAGAGAGGGAAGCGTGTGGCATCAGCCGCAACACCACCAAATACAACTCCCTCTCATGTCTAGTACAACTTATTCGAAAGCACATTAAACCTCTCCAGCAATACTCCTTGGGGAAATAAGTAAGAAAAATGGAAATACATTTTTTTTTATAAGCCGAAACTAGTTTCAGAGAAGTTAATAGGAGGAATTTCTACAAATTAGTTCATGCAAGTTAATTAATTTAGTTTATAGAGAAAATTATTTAGTTTTCCATCTTATTTTTCTTAAAAGCTCTTCTAGAGCCTGTATGTAAGATTATCTAGCTCAAGAGTGCATGAAAGAAAAATGCAGAAGGAAAGAACCATAAGTAAAGCTTTCTATAATACAAAATCTTGCAACATGTAGACATAGAATGTTGTGGTTTGCGAGGTGTGAACTTTAATTGGGAAATGGGAACCATGTTAATTACTTGTAGAGTTGTTTAATTTGCTTGTGGGAAGTGTATAATCAATATGTCAATGCAGATCTTGATGGCGAGTATTAATATAGTATCAGTTGTATATTCTATAACTGAAATGGAATCAGAAATAAAATTGTTATTGTACTTTTTGCAACTCAATTATTGTGGAGTATTTTAAGAGAAATTGACCTGTCTCATTTCGAGAAGCATAGAATATACCAAGAAATATATAATAATCCGATAAACGACGAAGCAGATACTAACACGAGGTAATGCCAAAAAAATTATACTACGTATTAGTTTACTTGGTTTGGGTTTCGTGTGACTTGCGAAAGTGGTAAGCTTGAATCCACTAATTATAGATATTAAACAGAGAAGACAAGTGCAGTCGATCGAAATGAAATGAGACCTACAAATAATGTAGATCAATAATATTAATATACAAGTTTCAATTTATCAAATGTCTACTACATATAGAACCTAATTGCCTTTAAATGAAAATTTAAGCCAGCAAAAAAAGAATTTGGATCCTCTCCACCCTTTCTCTAACAACACTCATAATCTTTAGATATATTTAATGACTCAAATTTAATATTATAAAAATTATTTAAGAAATTACATTAATTATAAAATTAAATTTGAGCCATTAGATTTATCTAATGATTATTAATGTTGCTAGAGAGAGGTTGGAAAGAGAATACTGCAAGAGAGGATCCAAATTCGCAAAAGAATGATTTATTAAGAAAGTAAATAGAAAAAATGATAATAAAGATAAAAGGATTGAATATAAATTCCATTTCTAAAAATAATTAAAATACTGTATTTTATTTTAGTTCTTATTTAATTTCTTTGTTTTTTTTTCATATTTAACACAGATAACATGTTTTTAATTTCTCATCATTCCCTTATCAGAGATTGAAAATATATAAATTTTTATAATTTTAAAATATAAAATAAAAGATTAAAAGGCTTTATATGTGTGTCTTATGGTGTGTGAGAGAGAGATATAGAGATCCACATGGCCACGTAATGCATTGTGTTTGTTTGGGTTCTGGTAGCGTCTCATCAACCCAAAATTTGAACTAACAATTTTGTTTTTCTACAGTCCATCATAGTTGGGGGCCCAAAAAAAGAAAACGGACTTACACTTCTGCAGTCAATCAGGGGAGAACCCGTTTCCCCCATTCAAAACAATAAAAGGAAACCAAATTAAGAAAGAGGCTTCATTCAAGATATAATTTTTAGGTAATAAGAACTTATTTAATTTAAAACAACTTCTATATATTAAACGTAAACGACTGTTAAAAGAAATTTTATAATTTATTCATCGACGGAAATGTTTCAAGAGATTTTTTTTTTAATTATTCATTACAAAGGAGTATTTCCTGTCAAATATGAGAACAAACTTTTTTGGAAGTTTGAAAGGATATTAAATAAGTGAATATTCTCTCTTTTAACTTTCTATCTAATTTAATATTTTACTTGTCATATTTATTTATAAATTAAACTTTAATATCTTAAAATAAATTATCAATAATTAATAATATATTTATTTATCTTAAATTTAAAATATAATTTATATATTTATTTATATTCATTTTAAATATGATTTATATATGTAAATAAAATATTTATTTATATAAAACTTATTATAAATTTTAGTTATATCTAATAAATATTTAGTTTGTGAAATGTATGGGTTAAAATATTAGTACATAAATAAATTATTATATGATTTAATCAATTCAATTTAATAAAACATTATTTAAATCAAATTAATAATTTATTTTTTGATTTTTTATTTAGTTAATGTTATCTTTGTGTCTATATATCATATGCATTTCACATTGGAGGTAAGATAGATAAGACTACTATAAATGTTAAAACTTTTTTTTTTTTTTGTATTTAATAGATATGCATACAAATATATTTAAACGCAAAATTATTGGTTAAATTGAAATAATGACGCGTCAGTTGATTTGTACTCTCATTATTAATGTTATTTTAGTACATAAATAATATTCACAAATAAAGTAATATACTTTTTTTTTATTTATGAACATGACATGTAATATTGTAAAATTGATAGTTAAAAATTAATTACGATGCTTAATATAATATTCTAACATAATTACGAAACACAATGGAACATAAAAATATGTTAGTCTAGTGATTGGGTAGGGAGAGGTTGGGGTAGTTAGAAGCATGATGACCTAGGTTCAATCCTCACTGCGACCATTATAATCTTTCTTATCTTTAAAAAAAAAATATTTTATATTTTTTTAATATAAAACACAAACGTTATTAGATAAGAATAGCTTTAAATTAATTTAAAACTAATAAATTAATGATTAAATTATATTTTTAATTTCTTTATTTTTATTAATTTATGATTTTGGTCATTTTATTTTAAAATAAAATATTTAGTTCTCTAATCTTAAAATTTGACATTTTAGTTCTCCAATTAAATTAACATCTATTAATCATTAAATTTTAATGTTTAATCATACTTAAAAATATTTTTTTTAAATATACAAATAAAATTTTTATTTATAAAATAAATATCAATCACTTTTAAAAATAGATACAAACCAACATTTTTTGTATATTATTTTTAATTTTTATTCTTATATTTCATGTCACTAAATATCATGTCACTTAAATGATGATAAATCATCAAAATTTAACAATCAATGAACATTAAATTAATGATAAACCAACATTTCATATTTTTAAAAATACAAAAATTAAATATCTCTCTTTTAAAATAAAGGAACTGAAATTGCAAATGAATAAAAATAGAGATTAAAATAGAATTTATAGAGAGCATAAAATAAGGACTTATAAATAAGACAAAATATATTACTAGTTTCATATACATATATATATATATATATATATATATATATATAT